CCAGGCTCCTCTCAGGTTTTGACCTGTTAACCCATCATTCTCTTATTAGGCTCTTTGATGCATTTAGTAATATTAAATTTTTTTAATAAAACATTTTTAATTTTTTTCACTGGGAGGTGATCCAAAGGAAAAAAAAACTTACATGGTCTTTGTAAACACTGAAAATTTTACAGTCACTAAAATATGAATATGGCAAAAAATAAAAATAGCACAACATGGGATGTAGAATGAAAGCTTTTTCCCCCACACACAAGACCCATGAGTCTCTTTCATACAAGGTAACTACTGTTGTCTGAGCTTTTTCTTCCAAAGCATTTAGTTGTGTTTCCTGAATGTAAAATATAAGTGCTTTTTTTTTGGCGGGAGGGTGTTGGGGATTGGACCCAGGAGTACTAACCCACTGAGCCACATTCCTGGCCCTTTTTTTGGTAATACCTATATTTTATTTATTTATGTAGTGCTGGAAATCTAACCCAGTGCTTCATGCATCCTAGGCAAGCACTGTACCACTGAGTCCTATCCAAGCCCTTTAATTTTTTTTTATTTTGAGACAAGGTCTTGCTAAGTTGCTTAAGGCCTTGCTAAACTGCTGAGGTTGGCCTCGAATTTGTGATCCTCCTGGCTCAGCCTCTTGAATGGCTGGGATTAAAAGCATGCATCTGGCCTAAAGAGATGTGCTTTTTATAAGCAAATATATGCCTTCATAGGCATAGTTTATAATCCTTAAAAATGATATTTTTCTAAAACTTTAGCAAATTAATAAGACATCTTGGAGATATTTTTCCATATCAGCATATACCTCACAATTTGGATGTGCCACAGTTTATGTAATCAAATTCCTATTAATCATTATAGGAATTATTATATTGTTATATTATCATAATTGTTATAACAATTTATATTGTTAATATTTGTTATAGTTATACCTGTTTATATTGTTATAATCGGTTCTGTGATAAATTTTTCTAAGGCAAATTTAAGTGGAATTGCCAAATTGCCCTCTCAGAAGTTGTATGAATATGTACTCATATCAAAAGTATGTCAGCATTTTTAAATGACTGCATAGAATTTCACCACACAGATGTACCATTGTTAACCTAATCATTTCCTGGATCCTGGATGTTTCTTTCAAGCAAGCAAGTAAGCAGGGAATGGTAATTGCTTACCTGCCACAGTAAGGGAACTTTTGTATTGAGAAGAGAGTCGTGTATTTCTTCCAGTTCTTGAGTGAGGATGCTCTCTCCTTTTAGAGCAAGTTGAAGATCTTTTAAAGATTTATGTATGACACTTAATAGCTTATTAAATCGTCCTATTTCTTGGTTCAAAAAGACTATTAAGACACAATGGATAAGGGGATCATGGCCTGGAATTAAAAATAAAGAGATAAAACTTTGATATGTTATAGATTAAAAAGAGGCTTTGCATGAGAGGGACACAGGTTTTGAAAGTTAAAGAAATTTCACGTGTCTTTACCCGGGGTAGATAAACATTTTCTGTAGAAGTTCAGATAGCAGATCTTTTAGGGTTTATGGATGGCATCATTTCTGTTGCAATTACTCAGTTCTTCTCTTGCAGCCATAGACAAAGTTAAACAAATAAGAATGGCCATATCCCAATAAAATTTTACTTATGGCACTCAAATCAGAATTTCAAATAGTAGTTATGTGTCACAAAGTATTGATTTTTTTTCAACCATTAAATAATATAAAAATTCCTTTGAGCTTGCCAGTTGTATAAAAGACTGGATTTAGCCTGAAATCCCTTATTTGATGAACTTTGATCAAGATTCAAAAACTTCAGTACCACAGTCATGTCTCACTTAACAGTGGGGACAAATTCTGAAAAATGCGTCCATAGATTTCATCCTTATGCAAATATTAGGGTGTGCTTACTTAAATTAAAATGACTCTGACGTCACCAGGTGACATAACTTTATGGGGCCATCATACATATGTGATCTGTCATCAATTTAAATGTCATTATGAGGTGCATGACTATTTTGATAGACTATTGCTCAACGTTTGTTTCCAAATGAATTGTTTTTGGGTTAGAATATGGATGTTAAAATTTAACTCAGAAATTGCCCCAGTCCAGGAATTTAGCCCCTTGGAGCTGTGCCTGGAACTAATTTGGGCAACTCTGGGCCTGCCCTTCCTTGTCTTACTTTCTCAGTATTGAGAGGTCTCCCATCAGAGGATTCATCTCAACCCTGCTGCTCCAGATGCTGTTCCAGAGAGCAGAGACACAGAGCCAGAAAGAACAGGGACCTAGAAAGCTTTTTAGAATTTCCCCAGCAGAGTTGCTGCTTTCTTGTTTGCTTTACTTTTGGTCTCTGTGAAGACCCAAATGACTCCATCAATTTCTTTTCTGCTCCTATCTCTAGAGTGGATATTTGGCTTCCCATCTTGCCTCAGCCTTTTTCCAGTTGTGGTACTGTACTTTATTCCTGACTCTGCCTTCCTCTGACAGCAGAGTTTCTTCCTGAGGAGGCTGAGGTAAGGGGAAGGAGTTCAGATCATATGCTCACCTTTGATATTTTTATAGAGAGACTCCCAAATGGAGCTGGACAGGAGACTTTTCAATGTGCTGGGGCACACTTCTTTCTCCACTGTCAGCGGCAGGCGCTTCAGTAGGTCAGATACAATTTCTATCATGAGTTCATTATTACTCTGATGAGGACTGCAGAGGAAACCATGAGAGGAATGTGACATGGGTCTGTCTAATCCACAATGACTGATATATTTGGGTTTCAGCCCAATAGAAAAGGAAACAGAGCTTTACAGTACCACACACCTGTGTGATGAAAGATTTTATGGACACCATGGCGCTCACTGACTACACTTCACAGATACAAAACTGACCAATGACTTTTAGACATTTGTAAGAAAATGTGCATTTAAAAAGTTTTTTTAGGATTCCTTTATCTGCTAGTAAATGGATGGAACTGAGAATATCAAGCTAAGTGATAAGCCAATCCCCCCAAAATAAAGGCTGAATATTTTCTCTGATATATGGATACCAGTTTAACAATAAGGGAGCTGGGTTAGAGAAGAATAGAAGCACTTTGGATTAGACAAAAGGACATGAAGGGAAGAGAGGGGGAATGGAATAGGAAAGATGACAGAATGAATTGGTCATTAGTATCCTATGTGCATATATGATCACATGAACAATGTAATTCTTCCTCATGTAAAACCAGAAGAATGAGAAGTTACACTCCTTATGTTATGGGCCAGGCTATATGGGCAATGACCAACAGACTCCATTTACCCCACATCATGTAAGAAATGCTTCTTCCAGGGAAAGCCCCACCTCTGTACCCATCAACAGTTGCTTAGCATAGCATGTTAGGCAACACAAAATGGCAATTATTATACAATATAAAAGTGTTCTCTCTTTGGTTCCCATTTTTCTTGGACAATGTACGCTGTCAGAGATTGATTGTCTAGATGTGAGTAACCATTCTTTAACTTGTGCACAACAAGGGACGTTTTGGCCCACTCTCTTTTCTGCTTATGATTTTAGATCTCATAATGTTTGAGGGCTTCCTCCATGCTAGGCAAGGGCTTTACCACTGACCTACAGCCCCAGCTGAAGCCACACTTATGCTTTAGTATGGTTTTGGACTATAAAAGGTGTACTCAAACCCCGGGAGGGGGACAAAGGATGTAGACTTGCAGCCTATCCTTTGGCCCGCCAGCTGGTGGATCTGGATAGCCACCTGGTGAATAAAGTTTCTATCTCCTGCTTTAAGATGGACTTGGTGATTTACTGCAACCTTGCCTTAACACATGTGTGTATAATATGTCAAAATACATCCTACTATCATGTATAACTAATTAGAACAACAACAACAAATGAATAATTAAAAATGTTTCATAACTTTTTATTATAAACCCAACTCCTAAAATGAAGCCAAGTACTATTTGGCCAAACAAAACCAACTACCTTGATTTTTTTTTTTAAATAACTTATGGATACTGCTCATTTTCACAATCAGAATAGCTTTAAAATAAGGTTGAATTTGATACAGGAAAAGTTTTGTTCAAGAACAAGTCCTTTTTGCTTTTCTTTCTTGAGAGAGCTAAAGAGAAACAGTCGATTGTTTTCCTGACAGCAAAAGAGTAATGTGGTAAAATGAAGTCATTGTAAAAAATGATTCGACTTGTCAAATATTTAATAAAGAATTATGGAAGCTGGAGCATTTTATACAGCAAAACAAAACAAAACAAGACAAAAAACCAAAATTTTCTTAGGATTCCTTTAAAAAACAGTCATCTGAATACCTCTTCATGAACGGAATGAAAAAGCGGGGCAACTTGACGTCATGCTGAAGCAGCTTCTAAGAAGTTCATCTGCTTGTCAAATCCCTGTGTTTACATAAAGGGTTTCCTGATGGCACACTCAGTGGGTGGTGACCGGAGGACAGTGTGTGTACAGGTCCTGGGGAGGCTGTGGGACTACTCAAGACCATCAAATTCCAAAGATGAGGAAACCAGGGCCGGGAAGCCGACAGGAGCTCCTTAGACATTTTCTGGATGAGTAGGGAATGGGGCCCACTCTCTGTTGCTCTTTTTATTAGTGGGGATTGATTTTTCACCTAACACTTCAGGTTTCTTTTTCACAAAGCCAGATGCATGTCAGCCTTCAAAGTAAGTGTTAATATTAACACTATGTATTTAGTCCAGCAGTGTCACTTCTGGGCCAGTGTACAAATCACCTGAGGGAATATATTTCCTTATTTTGTCATTACACTTTGATTTTTTTCTCTTTTTTTCAGTAAGGGGTATTGAACCTAGGCTTCCTCCATGCTAGGCAAGGGCTTTACCACTGACCTACAGCCCCAGCTGAAGCCACACTTTTCTTTTGATTTAAAAGTTGGGTTTTTCAGTAGAATTCATCCAAGGTGGCTTCAAAAGGTAAGTTGAAAGGTCAAAAGGTGTCAGTCACATCGAATGCCTTAGATCTTTTGAATTAAGTCCTATAGGCAAGTTTCTATAGATTCTGAACAGAGGCTGCATGACTGGGATGATCACAGCTTCCCGAACTACCCAAGTGACATTCATAAACACACTTAAGGTGTTTATTACTAGCATTCCCTTGTACCTGTCTCATCTCTGACTAGTGTACTTGGTGAATGCTAACAATATGGAAGTGCAGGGTCTAAGAAAATTCAACCTGCTGGGGACATGTTGGTGTTTTCAACTGAGCTTTCTTCTTCTTCTTTTTTTCTTCTGTGTGCCTAAGTTTTCCTCATATCACAGGAAGAAATAGTATATATTCACTCAGTCAGTGAAGTGGGATTTCAGTTATCTTTATTTTGTGTCAGTAGGATGAACTTGGATGGTACAATGAAGTAATCAATCTAAACCCTAAGCCATAGACAGAAGTCAATCCAATGTCATTGTAATAAGAGTTATGGTCCACAATGATTGAAGACTGTAAGAGTGCAGAATACCAAGAGGCTCAAAGATGTCAGAGGCACATGGGAAAAATTTACACATATTTTAAGAGCTAAAGAAATGTAAAACTCAATCTATAAGTACATAGATGTACTAGATAGTGTGCAATTGAAATCCAAGGGTGTGGGTGATGTGACCAGCATCTCACAGAACTATGGAATTATTTTTATGGTCACAACAGCTGTAAAAAATGTTCAGAGGATCCTATCAATGTTGACAAAAAGAATTAATTCATTTTTTGGTTGAACTCTTGTTTTATTCCAAACTCAAGTGAATTGAGAAGGCAAACTTAAAAATCATGCGAAATGATAAACTCGATCCATCATAAGTGTTTTTCAATTTTGGAAAGATTTATAATTAGGTATAATTAGGTTTAACAGAATCACAACTCTGGAAAAAATGTTTCTGTATTAAGGAATGCTATTATTTTAAATATTTGTAATGTTTAACATAATGGGATCTCTTAAACCTTAGAGGGAGAAATTGATTTAAGTTTATGATTTACCAAGAATCAATAAATGGGATGGCATAAAACTAAAAAGCTTCTTCATAGCAAAGGAAACAATCAAGAACATGAATAGAACAGAATAGAGGACACAGAGACCAATCCACAAAATTACAACTACCTTATATTAGACAAAGGTGCCAAAAGCATGCAATGAAGAAAGGATAGCATCTTCAACAAATGGTGCTGGGAAGAACTGGAAATCCATATGCAACAGAATGAAGTTGAATCCCTCTCTCTCACCTTGCACAAAAGTTAACTCAAAATGGATCAAGGAGCTAGGAATCAAACCAGAAACTCTGCGTCTAATAGAAGAAAAAGTTGGCCCTAATCTCCATCTCGTGGGGTCGGGCTCCAAATTCCTTAATAGGACACCTATAGCACAAGAGTTAAAAACAAGAATCAACAATTGGGACATATTCAAACTAAAAAGTTTTTTCTCAGCAAGAGAAACAATAAAGAGAGGTAAATAGGGAGCCTACATCCTGGGAACAAATATTTACCCCTCACACTTCAGATAGAGCTCTAATCTCCAGAGTATATAAAGAACTCAAAAAATTAAACAATAAGAAAACAAATAACCCAATCAACAAATGGTCCAAGGATCTGAACAGATACTTCTCAGAGGAGGATATACAATCAATCAACAAATACACGAAAAAATGCTCACCATCTCTAGCAACCAGAGAAATGCAAATTAAAACCATTCTAAGATACCATCTCACTGCAGTAAGATTGGCAGCACAATATAATAGACAATAGTATGGCCCTATGTATAAACGTGGCTGTATAACCAATGTGATCCTGCAATCTGTACACGTGGAAAAATAAGATTACGTACCTCATTTGAATCAAATGTATGATATGTCAAGATCATTGTAATGTTTTGAGCAACTAATAAAAAAATTTAAAAAAGAACATGAATAGAGAATCTACAGAATGGGAGAAAATCTTTGCCACTTGCACCTCAGATAGCTCATTAATCTCCAGGATATACAAAGGAATCAAAAAACTTAACACCAAAAAACCAAAAAACAGGCACTTCACAGAAGAAGAAATATGAATGGTCGAAAAATACACAAAAAATGTTCAACATCTCTAGTGATTAGAGGAATGCAAATTAAAACTACACTGAGATTCTATCTCACTCCAGTCAGAATGGCAATTATCAAGAATACAAGGAACAATAAATGTTGGCAAGGATGAGAGGAAAAAGGTACATTCACACATTGCTAGTGGGACTGCAAATTGGTGCAACCACTCTGGAAAGCAGTATGGAGATTACTAATAAAACTTGGAATGAAACCACCTTTTGACCCAGTTATCCCATTTCTTGGTTTATACCCAAAGGACTTATATCAGCATACTACAGTGATGTAGCCACATCAATGTTTATAGCAGGTCAATTCTCAATAGCCACCCTATGAAACTGACCCAGGTACCCTGCAACAGATGAATAGATAAAGAAATTGTATACACACAATGGAATATTACTCAACCATAAAGAAGAAAGAAGTTATAGCATTTGCTTGAATATGGATGAAACTAGAGAATATCATGCTCAGTGAAATAAGCCAATCCAAAAAAACAACAACAACAACAACAACAACAACAACAACAAAACCCAAAGCTGAATGTTATGATATGTGGATGCTAACCCACAACAAGGGAGGGTAGGAAGGGAAAGAATAGAAGTTCATTGGATTAGACAAAGGGGAATGAAGGGAAGGGAGATGGGATGGGAATAGGAAAGACAGTAGAATGAATCAGACATAACTTTTCTTTGCTCATATATGAATACACAACCAGTGTAACTCCATACCATACAACCACAAAAATGAGATCCTATTTGGAATGGGTTATATTTCATGAATGTAAAATATGTCAAAATACACCTTACTCTCATATATATCTAAAAAACAACAAACAAAAAAATTACAATTTAAGGTGAAATCCAACTAGATTGAGATAGAAGAATAAGAATTTAAGATTCTCCATATTTGGGCTGGGGCTATGGTTGAGTGCTAGCTTAATATTTGTGAGGCACTGGTTTAATCCTTAGCACCACATAAAAATAAACAAATAAAATAAAGGTATGCTGTCCATCCACATACAAAAAAATCTAAAAAATTAAGAAAAGGTTCACGATATTTATTTATTAGATTTATAAAAAATATTGAAAAACTTAAGTTCTGGTAGAAGGCAACAGAAGTCCATTAACTTCATATGAATATGTTTAAAAATGTTTGATTAAATCTATAATGGGGTCAAATGTTATTCAAAGACCTTTTAAAAGTGATTGTTAAAATATGTTAGATTTATCAATTGAGAGACTGGATTTCTAAGCTTAACCTAACTGCATATGAAACTCACTGGATTCTCAGAACAGCCCTGGTGTGGTGGGCACTGTTATGATCTGATGCAGAGATGAAGAACCTAAGACAGAAGGAGTTCATTGGCTTCCTTAAATCCATAAATCAAGGGCTGCAGGTGGGATTTGAAGCCGGGTCTAGTTAGGAAGGCAGAGAGGAAGAAGGAGTGTGCATGTGACCTATTTCCTGAGCAGCTATGAGTGAGTGTCACAGGAGATGTCTGTGACATCTGGGGCACTTTGATCGGGAAGGAAGAGCAAGGATCATCCATTTGACAATCAAACCACTGGGGCTTGAGCCCTGTAGTGCTGGCATTAATAACCCTCACCTTATTTTATAGCCATGGGCTGAGGAGGCCTGGGTATTTAGGTTAAATATGTTATTCCATTTGAACCTCAAAACAGCCTCAATGGGTAGACAGATATTATTATCCACATTTATCGATAAAGATATTGAAGCCATATGACCTCAGATACAGAACAAATAGAGCTATAATACACACAGGCCTCTAAGTGCAGGGCTAGTTCTTGAGAACATTGTCCTGTTACTCATGATGGTTATCCCTTTCTAGTATCTACAGAATTAAATATGCAAATTTCACATTTAAAGAAATTTATTTTTAAGATACTACTTACCAGGTACAATTCGGTCACTCATTTAATGAACTTCTGCATGCTTGTAAGTAATGTGTGTGAAGAATTTAGTTTCTCTACCATGTAACTTATACTTTCCTATAAGTTCTATACTGTATATCTCCAAATAAATATTTAATAACTGTTGACTAAACTTTTTCCTAGTGCTTTCTTACTTGATCGTGAGTTTGTCAGTGGTAGTTTTTGGTTGCAGGGCAATGAGATTTTCGATAAACTTCTGGCCCTGGATCTCCCTGATGCTCCTTTGGGCCTCAGGGTGTATTCCTAAGATCTCGGGTGAATCATCTTCGGGTAAAGACTCGATAATGTGTATGCAGTCTTTTATGCTTGCAGATTCTGGTATGTGTTGACACATCTGAAAATTTAAGCACTTGGTTAGTTTTTGCCGGAGTGAGACACCTACTTTCACTAATGTATGAAGGCAATATTTCTCCATGAAATTTTATACAGAACATTCTTCTTATTTGTATATAGTGTATTTTAAACACTCTGTCAAAAGCAACATCTGGGGCTACCGTATTGTAAAGTATATATTACATATATCTAACCTTCTTTTGGCAAAAGAGAGAAAAAGGGAAAAAGTGTTAAAAGACTAGGGTGATTCTAACCATTCATTGCTCAATTAACTAAACTCATGGATAATGAATGCAATAGAGCTTAAACAAATAGTTCTACTTTAGTAAAACCTGTGAAAGGAATGTGAAAATAATAGTTATGGTTTGGATCAAAAGGCACACACATAGCAGGGTTGATGTGGTCTTTACTCTCTCTTTAGGCTCAGTCCAAGGTGCGTGGTGGTGTCTCCTGCCAGATTTGTATGCTATAACTCTAGGTTCTCAGATTTCATGGACTGTTTCTTTTCCATCATTTTCCTTTGTAATGTTATGTTTTATAGAGTAATGGGTAAATTGCTTTTGTAAGACTGTATTTAAAAAAATTTTTTTTTTGTAAGACTGTATTTAAAATTAAATAAAAGCCATTAAAATGAACATTAAAATGCAACAATGGTTAGTTAATGATTGGGCAAAATTATAAGATAAATTTCCTTACTGCATCACTAGAGAAACTGAAGTCATCTTTCAGCACTTCAGGATTGCAAAATTTGTAGAGGAGTGTCTTTAAGCATCGCTTGTCCCAGATATCAGTAACCCGGCTGCCAGAAATCACTTCCCCGATCAAGTAGCGCACAGATGGCCACGGAATTTCAGACTCTTTACTCAGGACATTTGCCAAGACCTTTATGGAAAACTTGAGAAAATCCACTAGGCTTTATTATTTCAGTGTGTGTTTTTAGCTTAACCGACATTTTAACATAAAACCAACAACTCTTAGCAGCTACATGTATTTTCTTTTTAAAATGTATATTGAGCCGGGCTCAGCGTCCCTATTCTGTGCAGCTGGGGAGACTGACGCAAGAGGATCACGAGTTCAAAGCTAGCCTCAGCAAATTAGCGAGACCCTGTCTCAAAATAAAATATAAAAGGGGCTGGAGATGTGTCTCAATGGTTGAGCACCCCTGGGTTAAATTCCCAGTACCAA